TGTTCTATAGAAATGTTTTCACTCTGCTTTGCTGGTAAGCAGCAAAAATGCATCCCTCTGTCTAAGTGTTCCCTCCACCGTCAGAAATTCTGTCTTGGGCGGCCTGCATTTCAGTCAGTTGCTTCTCCTCCTGATTAAAGGTGATGATCCTAGGTCAGCTCCATTCATCACTGCATATTTAGGAATTTGTAAGCAGGAGCAGCAAATGTGGGCTGCCTTTTTCAGAAATTAACAATGGCAGAGGCTACCTTGCTTCATCTCCTGCTGTGAAAGCAACAGGAATGCTCCCACGGATGGGCACTGAATCATGTCCATGCTCTCATGGCACGCAAATCATGCTGCATTCATTCTCGAATGGTTCTTCTCTCCCAATTGTTTAGGTCCCAACTACAGTGAAGGATAGCACCACTGGGATCTTGAAAGTGCTTTCCACTGCCACCGAGGAAACAAAATGGTTCTTTCCTCGACTGGCAAGGAAATGTGATTCCTTTCTGACTAGATGAGCCTTGTGGGATGGTCGTGTGCCAGCTCTGTGAACTTCATGTGGCCAATAAACTGCACCACCTGAGTGGCAGCCTTCCCTTAAGAGCCCTTATTGCCCAGGATTTTAAATACATGCAGTTCATATCACTACTTTACTTTCATTTTAACTAAAATTTGCTACATGGGTGCACACAGATTTTTGGCGTACCCTTCGGGACGTACCCAGGTGTCGTGCTCTGTCACTCCCCCAAGGGCAGCTAGGAAGGGACAATCCTTTCCTGGGGCAATTGACACAGGGCATTTTTGTGAGTCACATGATCCTCACCCCAATCCATCCTCCTTGTGCTATTCCTGCCATTATATCACAGATTTCTTCTGGTCTGCTATATCAGATTCTTTTCTTTAAGTATTTCAGTTTTCTCTTCGTGTGTATAGCAGCGTGTGCTCAACTGTTGATGCTGTCCTGGAACCAGCAGGTGTGACTCCAGTGGACTGGAGTGCTTTGAGGAGTGGAGAAGTGCCCTATCAGGGCCTCTGCAAAACCGCAGCAACTCGCAAGTTGCTTTCCTGCCTCCCCACCATGACCCCTCTCTCTCTTTCTCCAACTTGCAAATGCAATGTTCCTTCCCTTCGCCCTCCTTAAAAAAATTAAATAATCAAACCTTCCCAATTATCTCTTTTGTTCTTTTGCTCAAATGCAGGTCAACTCCAAAGTACATCTCTCATCAGTGATCTTACAAGTGCATCATATTGACTTCAGCAGAGCTAACTCATGCCAAGCTTGCGAGCAGTTTCGCTTGCTGCTGAGGTGCAGGAATGGGGGTGCTGGTCTCAATGGGTTCACCCGGTGGGGTCTGGAAGGACAGGAGCAAGCAGCGGCACCCCCTCCTTCTCCATGATTTTTTGTGAGGCAGCAGCAGAAGCCACCAGCTGCCTTTTAAATCTCTCTGCTTCTCTGTTCCTTCTCTCCTTTGCACAGCCTTCTCCTGACTGGTCTGCTACTGCCCTGAAGCAGGTTCTCCTTTGCCCCTCCCAAGTAAACCTGCATTACTTCCAAACCATTCCATCCCCTAAATAAATTTTAATTAAATCACAACAGACACTTTCACTGAAGTTACCTCCTTCTCCCTCTGTGCAGTTACCCACTCCCCCGCCACCATTTCTTAAGTGAATAGGGAGATGGGTCCATTGCTCAGTCAATAGGGATGAAGTGAGTGGTGACTCATGGGGATGACTCAGGGAGCTGTGGGTAGCAGAGAACAGATGGCTTAGTGGCCACTTCTGTGGCCAGTCTTTCCACAGGATTCCATCATACTCCCATACCTACAATGGTCAAATGGAGATACTGGGTCTGGACAATTGGAGAAGCCACCGTGAAACATGAAAACCCGCAAACATATTGTTGGTTCTCTCCATAGTTATGGGAAACCAATTCTGCCATGCAGGAATGCTGGAACTCCAACCAAACACCAAACCCCAGCCGTCACTCTAACTTTTTACCACAGCTTTTTGTGTTGTGCAAACCCACCCAAACCCAGCTGAGATAACAAACCACGGTGAGTAGCCCACAGTTCATAACTCTACAAGCATGCATGATTTCTCTTCATGGGTTGGTCAAGGTTAACCAAGTCATGGCTTGTTAGCACAGCTGGGTTCACGGAGCTCATGTTCCAACAGCAACCTAGTGTAGGTTGCCATGCTGTCTGAACCCAGCAAAGGCCTGCATTGACACATACTCCTCTGAGGCCATGCAAAGGAGGTTCTGTCTCCTGAACTGGGCCTTGAACTGGAGCCATTTTCCAGAACTGGCTGTGGAGCTTCATGCCAAAGTATAAGCAGGCTATTATAATGAGAACAGCAGACTGAGACTGGGCAGACCGATCTAAATCCTGCTCAGCAGCCAATAAAAGCGCTAGGTGGCCTTGGACTAATCTCTCTCTCTTTCAGCTTAATGCGCCTCATGGAATTGTCCTGAGGATAAAAGGAGGGCACTTCTTACATTCCATGGCCAAAGAGGCAGGACAAAAAAAGAGGGAAGAGTAGCCTGCATGGGATCCTACTGGTGAAAGACCCAAACTGAACTTACTTTGGCTCTGGCAGCAAACTGATGGTCTCACATTGCCTTTTAAGCTGTTTTAATTCACATGTTAAGAGGTCCACTGAGGCATTCAACTGTTCATTTCTGCTTATCAATTCATCTAGAAGAGATCCATGCATTAGCAAAGCTAGAACTGAGTTAGATCAAAGGCACCAGAGGAAAAAAGAACAAAGCAACCCACACTTTGCATCCCAGCTAGGACAGCTTGTTTGTTTATTGCATTTATGTGTAGTGCCTCTTAGCCAAAGGCCCTCAGAGCTGCTTACATAAACAACGGTAAGTAAAAAAAAAGCATAAACAATAAAATTAAGAGAATAAAACAGTTAAAACTAGAAGAATGACAAAATCATACACTCAGTTGCCAATAAAGCCATTTAAATTAGCCATTTAAAGTAATAACTAAAAAACAGATGTCGTCCGGCGCCCCGCGGCAGCAGCGATGGTATACCCACTATAAAACCACTCACTCACCGAAGCGACTGCGAAATAAAGAGACCTTCAGTAGAAGAGCAAGGCGCGGAGGCCTGGCGGGTTTCCTTCGGCAGGAGCCACCAGGCGCGAGGCGCTGCCCCGAGCGGCCCCCGCGACCGCCCCGGCGCGTCCGGGCGGCGGGGCCCCGGAGGCGCCTCGAGGCCTGCCCAGGCCGAGGGCGCAGGGGCGCTGTGAGGGCCGAAGAGGCGCCCGCGAGGGGCCCCGCGAGCGCGCTGCGCCCCTGCCGCCCGGGGGCTCCGCGGAGGGCCGCGCCGAGCAGAGCCCCTCGCCGAGGGGGCGGGGCTGCTGCGCGTTGCCGGGCAACTGCCGCCGCCCG